ACCTCCCTCTGCCCTGCGCTGGTCCCTGCTTTGCTCTCCGGCCTTAACCCGCCCCTCATGCCCCCTCCCCCTGCATATTGACCACCCCTCTTGCACTTGTCAGCAGTAAACTGTTGTATCTTCATAATCTCGAACATGCTATACTTCACATATGCTGTTCCCACTGTCTGGAATACATCTCTCCCTTCCACTCCCTTCCAAATTCCCAAAATACTCCTATCCATTCTTCAAAACCTCACTCAGCTGTCCCCTCCTGTCAGAGAATGTCTTTGGCTGATCTCTAAACCACTCGTCCCGCCGTCATTCCTTCGGGTGCCTCGTACAAATGCACAACATTCCAATACTTGCTGGTGCCTCACAACGTCACAGTGCGTGCCCGTGGTGCCCTGCAGCGTTGCCCCGAATCCCGGTGCTTTCCAATTGGCTGCCCGGCACACAGCTGTTGAGAACTTGGGCTTTGCCTGCGGAGATTGCTGAGTTCCACCCTTTACCACTTCCTAGCTGCTTAATCTCTCCATGCCTCATTTTCCTCCCCCGAGAAATAGGAAAAAATTAAAAGAAAAAACCCATCCCAGCCCTTTGCACATCCAGCCCAACTGTGCCGGGCTCAGAAGGAGTGGCCCCTGGCTTATAGTCAGAATGAGAGTAGCTGGGAAGAAGGGAGCTTTGGGCCGGTGCTGCAGCTCACTAGGCTAATCCTCTGCCTGCGGCGCTGGCACCCCAGGTTCTAGTCCCGGTCGGGGCACTGGATTCTGTCCCTGTTGTTCCTCTTCCAGTCCAGCTCTCTGCTGTGGCCTGGGAAGGCTGTGGAGGATGGCCCAAGTGCTTGGGCCCTGCACCCGGATGGGAGACCAGGAGGAAGCACCTGGCTCCTGGCTTCGGATCAGCGCAGCGTGCCAGCCGTAGCGGCTGCTTGGGGGGTGAACCAACAGAAGGAAGACCTTTCTCTCTGTCTCTCTTTCTCTCACTGTCTAACTCACTGTCTCTCTAAAAAGAGAGAGAGAGAGAGAGAAGGGAGCTTTGGAGGAAGGGGTGTGAAGACAAGTTTCGCTCTGGGCAGGGTCTCTGGTCCTGGGTTCCCCACTGCAAGGAAGACAGAGACAGGTTTTTAAGCCACACTGGCCCTCTGGGCCCTCCTCCAGGTCCGTGCAAGCCCCCTCTGTTCACCCCCACTTCACCCAAGCCAAGCTGAGTGTAGCTGGAACTGGGTCCAGGTGTGGTGTGCACGCTGTGTGTGGCGGGCAGGTCCATCCACTCCCTGCAGCCCTCAGTGGTCCCTACTGCTGGCACAGAGCAAGACTGCCCCCAGATGTCCATCTCCCCTGGCCTCTCTCTGTACTGCCCTTCAGAGGACAAGAGGAGATGCAAGGGTGTGGCATCTGGGGACACATCCTGTGTGCAGGCAAGTGCTGAGGCCTTCACACGCCTCCACCCACCGGCTCGTCTCTTGCTCCTCTAGCTCACAAGGAATCGCCTCTTCTGCCTTGCCATTGACCCGACAATCTGTTCTCACTGCAGCGGCCAGGATGAGCCTTTTGTAATGCAAGTCAGGTCATGTCACTCCTGCTGCCGGCCCCTTGTGGCTCCTCCCTAACTCAGAAGAAGCCAGCATCGACCAACTAGCAGTGGGACTTCGGGCAAGACATGCCACTGCCCTGCTTCATTTTGCCTGTATAAAATGTAGAGAGCCCTTAATGTCCCTTGTGAGTGTCAAATGCATTAGCTGCATTAATGGAATGAAGCATGGCTTGTGGGCAGCGCTAGATAAAAGTGAGCCTTGTTGTTACTGGTATTGCAACCGTCACAGGGCCTGACGTGACCGGGCCAGCAGCTGCCAGCTTTGCAGTTCCTTCTAGAGACAAGCACACTTCCTACCCCAGGACCTTTGCGCCTGTGGCTCCTCTGCCTGGAACAGCACCCCTCTCTTCAAAGGCTATCTTCTTAACCAGGCTCTCCCTGACCACCCTGTCCCATGTCAGACCCCTAACTCATTGCTCCCCATCCCCACTCCTGCTTTGTTTTCCTCCATGGCATCTATGAACACCTGGCACAGGCCCTCTCACTCTTATGCATTTACTCTCCGACCCCCAGTACACACTACAGTGTCAGCTATATGCAGATTGGGGCTTTTATCTCATGCCCACACCCACGTTCCAGCACCGAGAGCAGCGCCTGGTGCAGAGTGGCAGCTCCATGATGATTTGGGGAGTCAATCAAAGCACCTCCCAGGTCATCGGTGCCCCTGTCTTACAGAGGCAAGGGAAGGCTCTGCGAACCTGGGCGTGCACCTGCAGCTGCAGCATGAGGGGCTGGGCTCCTCCCTGCCCGTGTGGGTACGGATCGCCGCTGCTCCGCTGAGTGTGGAGGGGCTCCAGAAGTGGCAAGAAGCCAGGCAGGTGTCTGTCTCAGGCGCCAGGATACCGCACACGTGTATTTCTCCCAGTTCTGAGGCTGGGAGTCTGAGATTGTTCTGGTGCAGGCTCTCTTCCCAGCATGCAGACAGCAGCCATCATGGTATGTCCTCACGAGGCAGGGGGAGGTGGGGAGACAGAGCAGAAGAGAGAAGGAGGGGAAGGGAGAGAAGTAGAGAGACGCAGCCCTGTCGGATGATGCTCCCCTCTAACATGGCCCCCCAAAGTCCTCTCTCCAGCACAGTCCCATTTGGGGATGAGGCATGGATGTATGTATGCATTCGGGGGGGCACAGTTCAGCCCACAGCAGGATTTCAGAAGCCACGGAGGGGCCGAGGAGGGCCCAGGAGGCAGCCCCGTGATGCCCGTCCTTGTTCCCTAGCCCTTTCCCGTGGGCAAGGTGTGGGAGTGGCCTGTGCAGCCCTGTCTGGCAACTGGTGGAGTGATGAGAAAGTCGTACTTGGTCCTCACGCTGCCTAGTGACGGCGGGTGCTGTCACCCCCCCCGCCTCCACTGGTGAAGAAACCGAGGCACACAGAGGTGAGCTGGCGGGTCCAAGGTCCCCTCCGCTAGAAATGGCAGGTCTGCCTGGCACCGAAGCCTGTGCTCCGAGCTCTACCATAGCTCCACGGGGAAGGCAGGGGCCACCCAGCTCAGCCCGCGTCACTGAAGTGGCACAGGCCCCGCCCCCTAGAAGCTTAGCACCTCTTCAGGAGGACACAAGCACACAAGGTGTGGCAGTGGTGCCTGGTGCCAAGTGTCCAGACCCACTGGCCTGTGCAGGAGGAGCTCAGATGTCCTGGGGCTGGGCTGGTGGCCAAGGGCGAGCAGGGTTCAGCCAGACCGAGAGCGGGAGGGAGGCTGTTGCAGATGGAGCAGCCCAGTCTCCATTTGCTGGGCCCTGCATACATGGTGGGGGGAGGCAGCGAGCCCAGCACATGCTTGGAGCTCAGACACACTGAGGGGCGGGAGCGGCCACCCTGGCGGGTGGGCAGAGGACAGGTCCCCGAGGACCTGGAATGCCACGGTAGCTCTGCAGCAGGTGGACTTCAAATGCTCTGACCACCTGGGGCCGAAAGGCCGGCAGAGGAGTTCGCATTCGCAGGGTGTCACCCCCAAGTGGGGTCCACGGGGCTGCATTTGCTGTGTGCCTGGGCAGAGAGGGTCGGGGCCAATGAAGACAGTAGGTGGGCATGAGGCTCAGACCAAAGCACAGAGCTGAGCAGAGGAGAGAAGGCAGCTGTCGGGGCCCCAGGCCTGCAGCTGTGGCCTTGGGGAAGATGACGTGGGGGTGGGGGGTCTTTAGGGAGTCTCTGGCTTCAGGACTTTTCCCCTCCCAAGAGGGCCGTTCAATGCAGTATCCTGGCAAACGTTTGCCAACTGGCCCTTGTTTTGTAGAATTTGATTTTCATGAGGAAAATCCTCCCACCGTGGCCAATAGCAAGTTACTGAGCCTTGGCACTGAAGGCGGGGCAGGGGAGAGGTTCACACCGTTGGCCCTCGTGAGCCCACCCTGGCTGGCTCCAAAACATCTTGCTTTGAACTCCACACCCTGCCCCCTCCTCAGTGTGGCACTAGCAGGGGCCCTGGAAGAAGGAGACGGCCACTCCAGGTGTTCCCTGAGCTCTCTGGTGTGGACGCTCCCGGAGGCCGTGTGGTTTCTCATCATGGTCAGCACCAGTCATCAGCCTGGTGAGAGTCCCTAGAGCCGGCCAAGTGCCCCAGCTGTTGATATCAAGGATGTCACAAACCTGAAGTCGCAGAGACCTGAGTCCCAGGGCTGTGAAGCACTGTGGGGCACAGCAGGATTCCGGGGTCACCCTGTCGCCCCGCAGTCCTGACCTCGCCAGCCTGGGACCCAGTGCTCTTTGGTAGCAAAGCCTTCGTGATTGCACCAAAAGGCCCAATTTGTAGGGGCCGTTGCAGAAGGCTAATCCTCCACCTGCAGCGCCGGCATCCCATATGGGCGCTGGTTCGAGACCCGGCTGCTCCGCTTCCGATCTGGCTCTCTGCTATGGCCTGGGAAAGCAGTAGAAGATGGCCCAAGCTTGGGCCCCTACACCTGCATGGAAGACTCGGAAGAAGCTCCTGACTCCTGGCTTTGGATCAGCCTAGCTCTAGCCATTCAGCCCATTTGGGAGTGAACCAGCAGACGAAAGACCTTTCTCTCTGTCTCCCTCTCTCACTGTCTGTAACTCTACCTCTCAAATAAATACAGAATCTTAAAAAAGACCGCACTTGCAGTCCTGCTTCTTGCCCCTTCTACCTGCGAGAGACCCTAAGATACTGAAGGTGCTAGCTCGAGGGGCTGGAGGTCCCCGAGAAGAGGGCCACCCGTGCCCAGCTGCGCCCAAGGTGATAGCTCCGGGGCAGTGGGGAGGGAAGGAGGCAGCCAGACCCAGAAGCTGGCCCTGGGTCTCCCACTTCGCCACCTGGTGTGAGGCCACGGCTGGCTGCAGCTGTGGGATGTGAGCTGATGCAGAAGCAAGAACCAGTGTCCCTGTGGGCTCCAGCGAGAGTCCAGGGCCCCGAGGGTGTCCTTCTTGTCTGAAGAAACCTCACTCGCTCCTTCCCCACCCCCCGCTGTAGGTTTTTCATCATCAAAGAGAGCTTTCTGCTCTACTACTCTGAGAGTGAAAAGAAGAGCTTTGAGAGCAATAAATACTTCAATATCCACCCCAAGGTGAGGCAGCCCTCCCCTGGGCCACAGTGGGGAGAGCCCGATGGGGCCTTTGGGGGACGGCAGGGGACTGGGTACGTGTGGGCTCTCTGTGGCTGCAGAGGCTGACTTCCGGTCTGGGGCCCTTGACAAGACCTGGCTCTGCCCTGAGTGACCTGACTGGATGGGGGTGGGGACTGTGTGTTCTGGGTCTTTCTCAGGGTGTCATCCCCCTGGGGGGCTGCCTGGTGGAAGCCAAGGAGGAGCCCAGCATGCCCTACGCCATGAAGATCTCCCATCAGGACTTCCACGTGAGTGGAGCTGTGTTCAGTGGGCACAGAGTTGCCCTAGGAAAGCCCCCTGGGCAGCCTGGGCTGGGAGGGGTGCAGTGCCCGTGGCTGGGAGAGCAGGGCTGGACCGCTCAGTCATGGCCACGGCTCCTCTCCTTGGCAGGGGAACATCCTGCTGGCGGCCGAGTCCGAGTTTGAGCAGACGCAGTGGCTGGAGATGCTGCAGGAATCTGGGAAGGTGTAAGTATGTGGGCGGGGTGGGGGGAGAGGGAAGGGGGATGGGCTTGGTTGCCCTTGAACTCCCTGCCCCCTGCCTGGGATCCTGGTGGGCACAGAGTGAAGCCAGGGTTTGAGCATCTGCGAGGGTCGCCTAAGTGAACCTGGACCGTCTAAAGCCACAGGTGGCAGACGTGGACCCCACTGGGGGTGACTCCAGTGTGACAAGCTCGATTTGGCACCGCCCAGGGCCCCAAAGTAACTGGAGCAGAGGCCTGAGCTACACTTTACAAATTAGGGTCCAGATCACGGAAAACCCTGGCCCTGTCCCCACACCTGCAGATTCTAGCAGGGTCATGCTGTTCATCCAACAAATAGACTGCGTGCTGGCTCTGTGCCCTGTGCCTGGCCTTGTGCTAGGTGGGGGCATTCAGCTGTGCAGACAGACGTCTCTTCCCTGCTCTGCAAGTGCTCGTGGCCCACTTTGCAGCCAGGGCCAACCTCCAGTTACCGTAAGTGATCGATGCTGGTGCTGTGCCCAGACCCCTGAGTGCCCGAGACAGTGCAAACCGAGGTTCAGGCCTTAAAAAAAGGATGGATGAGTACAGAGCAGGTGCATCCTTTGATTTCAATGATTTTGTGTTTCTTCCTCTTCTCTCTTCTGTCCCATCTGTCTCCCCTCCCCAGGACTTGGAAGAACGCCCAGCTGGGAGAAGCCATGATCAAAAGCCTGGAGGCCCAGGGGCTGCAGTTGGCTAAGGAAAAGCAGGAGTATTTAGGTTGGCTGGAGGACTGGACTGGGGCTGGGGCTGCAGCCAGGGGCTTGATGGAGGTTCCCAGTGGGGATGGGGCAGGGCCTAGCCAGCTGCAAAGAGCCAGGGACCAGGGCAATGCCTGGAGGGCGTTATGGTGCCATAAATGTCCTTTTCTGCCAGGGTGGCTGGGGGCAGGAGAGCCCAGTGGTTAGGAGCCTGGGCTTTGGACGCAGCCTGGTCACTGATGTGTCAGGGTGTGTATGTGTCTTTAGGCAGCTCAGCGTCTATAAGCCTAAATTTCCTCCTCCTTAAAATGGAGATAAAAATAGCCCATAGCTTTTAGAGGTGGTGCAGGGATCCGCTAAATGAGAAAACCCCTGTAAGAGCTTGTGTGCCGCACACAGTAAGGGCTCCATAAATGGAGCTGAGGTCATCCTGCCCTGGGCTCCCAGGTCCTGCACTTGCCTCCAGCCACACCCCCAGACCACCGTCAACCTGGCCCCAGGGCTACAAGTCCCTGTGCCCCTGGCTGGCTGGTAAACCTTCTCGGTGGGGACAGAAGGTGCTGAGGCTGGGCTGTGCCCCTCTGCCTGGGACCCTCTCTGCTTCTGCCTGCTTAGACCCCTGGGGCCCAGCTCTGGGCACCTCTCACCCCACTCCAGGACTCTGCCTTCCCACACTGGCCAGACACGAGTTTGGCTGGCAGACAGCTGGGGACCAGCCCAGCAGCTGCAGTATCGGGGGCTGCCAAAACCCTGCCAATACCCAAAGCAGGCACACTGATGGGAAGGGAAGGAAGCAGAGGAGGCCAGCGAGGCTGCTCCTATCACCCAGAGCTGCCCCTGCCATCTCAGGACCCCAGCTCTGGAACGAACCCTTCATGAACGTGTGTGTGCACTTGCCTTGGCAGACAAACTGATGGAAGAGACGGAAGAACTGTGCCTTCAGAGGGAGCAGAGAGAGGTAGGTGTGCCCCGTGAACCCCCAGGACGGCTGCCTCCCCGCCTGCGCCCTTTCGTTACGGCCATGCTGTTCCTGCTTGTGTTCCTAGCATTCAGGTGTTGAGCTTGCGGGAGCTGGGGCTTTGGAGGACTTGCTGGAAAATCAGATGGGACAGAGCAGGGGACCAAGGAAGCAGACATTGCTTGGGACTTCCTGTCACTTCCTGGAGAGAAGCCAGCCCCTGGGAAGAGAGTACAAAGGTTGGATGACTACCTTTTAGAGAAAGCCACCCAAAAATGTCATCGGCGGTGTCAAGAGGCAGGGAGCTGGTTGTCAGTGGTGGTCACAGGGGGCTGTGCTGGCCTTTGCCCACGGAGGGGCTTCTGGACCATAAGCGTGGCTGATCTGGTTTGATGATCTCAGACATGCTTTGCTTCTGTCGGTGTCAACATCAGGAATGCAAGTCCCGAGCAGGCCACATGTTGGCCTAGGGCGCCCGTGTGGGTCAGGAGACTTCCCTCCCCTGAAGGTGGAGAACCGCTGTGGCGCTCTTCCCTTTGGATCTGTGCACAGTGTGGCCTTGTCTGCCCTGAGGCATCATTGCCACTCCTGAAGGGCAGGGGGCCGCAGTGGTTAGCCTTCCTGCTCTGCAGCAAGGCTGCCTCTGTTTGTGTTTGACCTTCACCGCCTCTCACTGTGTGACCTTGGGCAAGGTTTTGTGTGTGTGGTTTGTGGGTTGTTGTTTGTTTTTTTTTTTTTTTTTTTTTGCATTGTTAAAAAAAGATTGACTTAGGCCAGCACTGTGATGTAGTGGGTAAAGCCACCACCAGCAGTGCCGGCATCCTGTATGGGCACCAGTTAGAGTCCCAGTTGCTCCACTTCCCACCCAGCTCCCTACTAAGGCACCTGGGAAAGCAACAGAGGGTGACCCAAGTGCTGGGGTCCCTGCAGCCACGTGGGAGACCTGGAAGAAGCTCCTGGTTCCTGGTTTCCGTCTGGCCCAACCCCAGCCATTGTGGCCAATTAGGGAGTAAACCAGTGGATATAAGATCTCTCTCTCTCTCTCCCTCTCTCTCTCTCTCTCTCTCTCTGTATTTTTGCCTCTGCTTCTCTGTTGCTCTGCCTATCAAATGAATAATATATATATATTTTTTTTAAAAAAACGATTGACTTTATTTGATAGGCAGAGCGACAGAGAGATGAAGATACTGAGAGACAAAGAGATCTTCATCTGTTGGTCAGTCCCCAAATGGCCAAAACAGCCAGGGTTGGGCCAGGCCAAAGTCAGGAGCCTGAAATTCCATCTGGGTTTCCCATGTGGGTGGTAGGGTCCCAAGCACTCGAGCCATCCTCTGCTACTTTCCAAGGCACATTAGCAGGGAGCTGGATTGGAAGTAGAGCAGCTAGGACTTGAACTGGTGGTCTGATATGGGATGCTGGCGTCACAGGCTGCCACTTCATCCACTGTACCACAATGCTAGCCTCAACCTCGGGCAAGTTACTTAACCTCTCTGAAGATCTATATTCTCATCTGGAAAACGGAACCAATGATGTGCAGGATCCATGCGACATTGCATATAAGAAGTGCATGGGGCACAGGATGGCGCTTAATGAATACGTTTGTTAGTGTTCTGATCCTGTTATCATTAATGATGGATCTGTTTGGAGGAGTGCACAGAAGGAGGGCCTGATTCAGTCTACTGCTCTTTGCCCACTCACTTGTCCTTGTCCTCCTCATTGCTAGCCACAGGGCAGGGGCTACCAGCCTTGGCTCAGCGCCTGACTGTGACTTTGTCTCTCAAGAACCCCTCACCCTCCCATCCACCCCTCACTGGGCTCTGAAGAGCCAAGAGGCATCATGTCCCCTCCACACCCCAAACACTTCTGGGGCCTGGCACAGCACCCAAGATGCATGCTTGAGCAATGTTTGTGGAATGAATCAGTGTGTAAAGAGAAAGAGAGAGAGAGTGAGAGAGAGAACTCTCATCTCCTAGTTCAATCCCCAAGTGCTCACATTGGCTGCGGCTAGGCGCAGGGTCAAATCTGGGAGCCAGGGACTCAATGCAGGTGTCCCATGTGGGTTGTAGGGACCCAATGACTTGAGCCATCACCACTACCTCCCTCGGTCTGCATTTAGCAGGAAGCTGGAGTCGGGACCCTGAGCCAGGAGACAGGCGTCTTCATTGCTAGGCTAAAAGCCAGCCCCAGCACACAGGTGTGGTTCTCGTAACACATTACCTCCTGGTTTTAATCTGGTGGAATGATCCACCCTCATTTTCCTTCTTCCCAGATACTGTCAGTGATTCGTGCCCATTTATTCTTCTGGCTGGGCTTCTGAATCCTTCTGTTGATTATGAAGGGGGAAAAAAAAAACAAATATTGAGGATTTGTATTTGGAGGCCTGGATTTGAGGATTGGCACTGAGCTGCCATGGAGTGTCGTCCTCCCCCTGCCCCAGGGTGAGCCTCCCTGTCTGTCATCCAGGTCCCACATCCCAGTTCTGGGGTTTTCTTCATGCAGGCTATGCATTTCCCGTGGGACTCCTTTTGTAGGCTCAGCAACCCAAAGACAGGTGCTCCTGGAAGTCCGGGGGTGGACTGAGTGGCAGACCCGGGCACCAGTGAGGAGGCGGATAGGCTTATCCATCGGAGAGGCCAAATCTGGGGCAGCTGTTCGGCTGGAGGAAAATTTAGACACTTTATCTAGGTCTTTAGCCAGGAAATTAGGACAGCGGACACCCACTACGCACAGGCCTCACTTAATGCCGCAGCCCGTGGAAGGAGGAAGCCGTCAGTTGTGAGCTTTCTCTTTTCTTTCTTTTCTTTACTCTTTTCTCTGGTACAGAATACGAGTGAGGCTGCAGCCCAGCTGGTGCCTGGAGTGGAGGCCTTGCTGGGTAGGCAGAGGGCAGAAAATTGCTCCCTGGCTCTCATCCCCTGTGCCAGTGTTTCCGCCTTGTCCCTGGTGGTGTGAACTTGGTCATAGCGGTTGACTTCCCTGGGCCTCAGTCTCTCCGTCTGTGGTGTGTGAGCAAAGCCCAGCTTGTTCCCGCCCTGCTCCTGGGTTACCGTGCGGCTCAATGCCGTAGAGCGCAGGGAAGCGTTTGGGGCACTGGCAAGGCCTGTGTGCCTTGCGATGCTGCAGCCCTGGCATTCCCTGTGAGCAGGGAAGGGCCAGCCCTCTGCAGGCGTGGGCAGAGGGTACGGGGCGAGCCGTCCTGGACTCATCCGCCCAGGGCGCCCTTCCTCAGGTACAGGGCACCCAGGGTCCCCACTGTGGCCTCATCTCTCACCTCCCCCATGGGCCATTTGGAAGGTGAACCAGGGGATGGAAGAGCGCATTCTCTCTCTCTCTCTCTCTCTCTCTCTCTCTCTCTTTTCCCCTCTGTAACTGCCTTTCAAATAAATAAAAATAAATCTTTAGAAAATACCTTTTTTGGCAATGCAATTTATATCCCAATGTAATGCTTCTCTCCATCCCTGATAACATACTTTGACCTAAAGTCAGCCTCCTCTGAAACTCACAGAGCTACCTCCTCTTTCCGTCAGTGTCAGTGTGGCTCATCTTGCTTTCCTCTTTACTTTTAATCTAAATATCTTTATATTTAAAGTGGTTCCCTTGTAGACAACACATAATTAGGTCTTTTTTTTTTTTTTTTTTTTTTGACAGGCAGAGTGGACAGTGAGAGAGAGACAGAGAGAAAGGTCTTCCTTTGCCGTTGCTTCACCCTCCAATGGCCACCGCGGCCTGCGTGCTGCGGCCGGCGCACCGCGCTGATCCGATGGCAGGAGCCAGGTGCTTCTCCTGGTCTCCCATGGGGTGGAGGGGCCCAAGCACTTGGGCCATCCTCCACTGCACCTCCGGGCCACAGCAAAA